GTATAGATTTGCTCAAAATACTTGATGGTATTGATGAGAATGAATTTGAGTTCTGGTACGTGAGTTAATGGGTATGTGGGAAGCTCTGTCCCAGTACTCACCATATTTCTTCTCTTTCCTCCCTATACATTAAATTATAGCTAATATCACATTTTAGTGTAATCTTTGTTTAGCAAAGCTATTTCTTGTGCTGCAGTATAAATACAGTTATAGAATAGACACCAAGACAGAATTGGATTAAATAGAATTACTGGTTATGAACAGGGACTTAAGAATAAGTATTGCCTAGGATTTTATGTTTAATAGAACTCTAAAATTCAGATCAGCAGGGCATGTTTTTATGGGCCTTCTGCCAAGACTAGAAGTAGCTTTGGTACCTGTTAACTACCTTAAACGTGTATTTGCATTCCATCCTCTTTCAGTGTGAGTAGACAAAGAAAAATAAAATGAGAATTTTAGAGCTAGAGTAAATCTTAAATACTATCTAGTTCAACTTTTGGTTTTACAGATGCATTTTTCCCAGCGCGTACATACAAGTGTATACTTTTTTCTTCATAACAGTTCTTTAACACAGATAGTTGGTGACAGAATCAGAATCTAACTCACCTAAAACTTAAATTATTTACCCTAATCTTCTGCTGATCTTCTGACACTTGCCCCAAGTATCAGGTCGCTAAAAATTATAGTATGGGCAGATAGCTGTATAACATATGGAATAGTGGTTTTCAACTTTAACGGTGAATAACCCTCACCTGGGAAAGTTATTTTTTTAAACTGCAGGCTTTCTTGGCTTCTCTCCTGAGATTTTGAATCAGTAGGTTTGGGATTGGGCCCCGTAAATCTGTGTTTCTAACCTGGGACGTTGCCCTTAAAAAACAGATTTCAAGGAATGAAGGAGAGAAAAAGAAGTGAGGTTAGCACTAATCCTCTCTGATGCCTTATTTCTGACCAGCGTTAGAAAAGAGTCAAAGGCTCCTTGGGCACTTGATCCTTTGAGAATGTGCGTCCCCGGCACAGATGTAAAGGCGGAGGAGACGTGCTCAATGATCGTGTTTGTTCCTCGGTCACTAGAACTTTAGGGTCATTATGACAACGTCGTTGAATCCCTGTCTGTGTGGTACTGCACGTGACGAAAGGAAATCTGTTTCCAAGTGAAACACTGAGAGTGTTTGGCCAGGATGCTGGTTCATCACTGCTGCAATAGTAGGAAACTTGAACAGAGGATCCTAGAATACCCAGTATGCATGGACAGCCATGGCAGGTACTGAAACGGGGCGCTGTTTCTTCTCTAGCAACTGGAATATTCTGATGTTGCCTTTCTGATTACACTTAGGTGCTAAGCGAATATTAAAAATTACGGTGCTAGTTGAGTAGGTTGAGTAGAACGGGAGATATTTTTTTGGTTTCGATTGAAGAGGAACCACTCGCCTTTAAAAGTATTATGTGCTGCTAAGAGAAGATCCATGCTTGACCAGTTTATGCCAGGTCTTTGTGTCCGTCTAAAGGAAGTTCATTATAAAACGGTGGGTAATAGTCTAGGATAAAGGAATATAGGCAGTCAAAAAGAACATTTTTAGCAATTAAATAATCCATGCCTTTGAAGGCTGAAGATAGGAAGCCACAGAAATCATGTTTAAAAAAAAAAAAAAATGATTGCAAGTAAAGGTGCAAATACAGTGCTAGGCTTCTTTTTTTTTTTTAAAGTATGTAAACATTTTTTCCAAGTTCACTCATTGCTATTAAAATTTTAGTAGCCATGTTAGAAATAAAGACAAAAGTTGGGTTTTCTGGGGCTCTGATTCAATTTTGGGTGTTTGATTTGAGGAGAGTTTCTGTAGAGGAGCAGGCACAGCGGAAACGAATGTGGCGTCCCCTGTAAAGTTACTACGAGACTCTAGAAGGAACTTGGTGCGGGTCACTCTCAGACGGTTTTTAGGAATTTGGTGTTTCAACCTAGGGACTTAGAGCTGAGTGGGTGTGCTGTTTCCATTCCCATGCTGTTTTTATCACTTATACCCTAATAAAGACTGACTTCGATATTTTTGATTTAAAAACGATTAGAATGTAGAAAAGGTTTAGTAAGCCAGACTTAGAAAATAACATCAGCTGTTTGCTAGGTTTAGGCTATACAGCGCATAAATTTACTTAACTTACCTTTACACGGTAAATATCTTAAAACTGTATGTAAATTGATTACTTTTTAACGTGAGCAGTTTGAGTAACACCTGTGCTGAGTCCTTTTATTGTTAAAAGTCAGTCAACACCAACTTAACCTGTTTTGTTAGTTTGAGTCTAATGGGCTTTTTCAAAGTGAAACCTGTATGTAGAGTATGAGCGAGCACACGTACATGTACAGAAGCCCTTCAGAAGGAGTTCAGCTTTCTTTTATAAACATCAAAACTCAACTCTACCTGTAAGGTGTTTTGCTAGAGTTTGCATCATTGACTTTCAAATTTATATCTCTATGTTTGAGATACACTAAGACTATCTATGCATGTGGATTTTTGGACTCTCTCTTCTTCCCTTTCAATAAGTCAGTTAACATTAAAAAAAATGTGACTTTTTCTATAAATGTTCATAAAACAAGTCATATTCAGCTTATATAGAAATTTACTTCACTCCTACAAGGAATTTCTATTTTGTAAAAATGTAGCTTGTATTTCAGAGTGTAATAAAATCTGATGTAAGAAATAAACTGTTGAGTGAGTTAAGTAATTATTCCAAATATATTTACCTTTTTAGTGTCAACAGTTACTTGAGGGTGGGGGAAGAGGTATGAAGATGAGGTCGACAGGCGTTTTAAATCGCAGTAGAAGTTTGTTGTCATGGTTCTACTAGACATGTTACTGTGACATGGAACATCTGTGCACACTGGAGCTCAGCATACTCATTTTTTCTGTGCGTACGCATCGCAGCGGTCACATCTACGACCTGCCGTGGCCCCTCCAGTCTGACCCAGACTAGGACTTTGAACATCAGCCTGTGATGTCTTAAGGGTTGGTTTGCAACACCATTGACAACTAAATGAGTATAAAGTAACACGTGTCGGCCTGGCCCGGCGAAGCAGGCTGTGGATTGGCACCAAGCTGTGCCGTTCGTGTTCTGCAGCGCCCTCTCTTCCTTCCTGCACTGATTCTTCTCTGTCGAGGTAGGCCTTTAGTGTTCTTTGAACTCAGTTTGAGGCTTCCTGCCCTTAATCCAAACTTGAGTTTTCCCCTGCCCTTAAAACGTTGGTGTTTTGTTTTTTTTTTAAATTGTGTTGACTCTCTCGGGTTAGTGACTTTTTGGAACACAGTTTAATTGCATTATCTATTAGGAAGTAAATCGTCCACTTCCTGTGTTTTATGTCATTGCTGCTTTGGACAGGGCGTGCTTTTTCAGGAGGCAGCCTGCCTTCCCGGGTGGCATGTGCTCTTCCGTACTCGGTCCGGCACCTGCTCCTGCGTGGAAAGCTGCCACGTGATCCATGGGAGATGGAAACCTCACCAGCCTTCTCCTTGGCTCTTCCTGCCCTGAAACTTTTCATGGGTTCCCTGTTCCTTGCCCACAAAATAAATTCAAAGTTAACATGCAAAGGAAGATCCAGCTTCTGCCTGCAAGTCCACCTTAGTGTCTCCTGCCTCACCCCAAACGCTGCATTTGCCAGCCTGCACCCTGCCGCTGCCTGCCTCTGGCTTTGCTGGGACTGCTCCCTCCGCCTGAAACGCTCGTCCCCTGTCACCTCCGTGGCTAATTCCTGCTCACCTGGGAAGGCCTGGCGAAGGCATTCTCTTCCTCCCAAAGCCCAGGGCTCCCGCCTTTATCAAGGCCCGGGTGTACTGAATCTTGATGATCTGTGTCTCTTCTGAGACTGAGGCTCTTACGGGCTGGCATCACTGAGTCACTGTTTTCCTTTTTACTTAGTTCTAGAACCCAGTACAGGTTGCCATGCGATGAGGTGGGAGATGGTGCATAGAACCAGTGGCACAGTGTGTGTAGTCAGTACAGTGACAACCATTTCAAAGACTAAAAAATGTAAAATTCGTAACTATTAGAAGTAGCTGCTGTTGGAGAGCAGTGTGACCCTTCCAATGCAAGTACGTGTTTCCTTCATACCTTTTTTCCTCCAGAGACCTAGCTTGCTGTGTATTCCGTTAAGTGCAGGCATATGAGCGTTCATCTGATGACCACGTTTCAAAAGTTACGTATGATTTCACAGACAAACTGGCAAGCAGACTGTACAGTAATGAGATGCAGTGAGACTGTGTAGTGAGATCATGGTGTCAAGACCTTTCCATCATCTCTCTCAATCTCTGTTTTGGAAAACTTATTTTTCTTAAGGAAGTTCTTCCTCTCTCAAACTGTAGGATTCAGAACTAAAATGTCAGAAATATGAAATACCTGCTCATCTTCCTGATCTAATATTTTAATTTCTAAAGACAGTCCTTGTTCTCGTCAGCATTCCTGAGGACCTTTACATCATTATGAACAGGCATTCTCTCTCGGCCGTCCGCCAGGCAGCGCCGTCAGCCCTGTCCCTGGGGAGTGCCCCGTCGGTTGTGGAGCCCATCACTGGCCTTTGCCCTGTCGAGGTAGGAATCCTCATGCTGCTGCATGTCAGTGCCACTAGAGAAAACATTGAAAAAGTGCGGAGACCTGCTTTTCAGAACATCAGTGGAAGTCCTCGTCCCTCAAGCCTGATTGACCTTTGGCCACACTTTCCCTCTTTACGCTAATGCTCTTTTCCCGGAGGTGACTCCTGACACAGGGCAGCCACCTGTTAGTCACGTGCCAGCACACACTGTAGACGAACTCCCCATGGCTACCACCCTGAGGTTTATAACGTTTACTCTCAGGTTCCACTGTGCGTCCTGTTTTTCCTTCCGTATGTGTTTTTATCTGGGAACTCGGGGGTACAATTGCAAGACTGGGAAGAACAATAAAGATTAAGAACAATTGAATTTTGTACAAATAACGAGAAAACTGATTTGATTAAAAGAAGCTCAAGTGTACAACTGAGATCTTTGACAAATTGTAAATAATTTTTCATGTTTATTTCAAAATAGCTTGGGAAAGAAAGAAGCAGGATTTATCTGCAAAGCAACTAAAAAATAGCAAGTAATAAAAGGATGCTTATGACATTTTTAGACTGCCTTGTCAGTACATTCACACATGCCAGATGAAGGTTTGTAAAGCAATTGAGAAATAATTCTGTTAAAAGTGTCTCGAAGAAAATCACTCAGCCCGAGTATAAAATACTTTGTGGTCCCTTCAGCATCAAGACTCTTCATACTTTGCTTGTCTCGTGATTTAATTCTTACTTTACAGCAGCTGGTATGTGAAGTGATTTCACACCATGCCCAAGATGCGCGCCACCCACCAGCTACATGGCATGATGACCCTGCAGGCGGCCCGGCAGCCTTGGTAATGGTAGGGCCACGGGTGGTAGCCCTCCAGGGGCTCGCAGATCTTCTGGCAGTGGGTGTAGCTCCGCCTACACTCGATACAGCAGATTCCTTCGTGATCCAGTCGCGGGTCGAATGTCATGCCTTCCCCTTCCTGCTGCTGTAAAATAAAAGAATTACTCGTGTTTTCTTCCTAATGAGAAGTTTGCAACATCATTTTCAAAGGCGATCCTGAATGTTTTCACTGCTACAAGAAATCAGCATAATTTTCTGTAAGGAATTTTCAATCTTACAATCTTAAAATTCAGAATTTCTTCTAACACCAAAGAACCTCCACCTCCCTAATCTGTCAGTGGCGTGCAGGCTTTTTCTTTGCAGTGAAGTTTCTCCATACCTTTAATGAGCCATAGAGACTGCTCAGGAGTGACTCGTCTTGTTAAAAACAGGCAAACAAAAAGGAAGCGTCATTCAAAGGTGGCATTTCTGCCTCTGCTAATTTTAAGTCAGTGGGATACTGGTGCCGCCTTATAGTGATGGCTTCCAAGACAGGACTCTTGGGAGCACATTTTGAAACTCGCTGATCTAGGCTAATGGATTGCTATTCCACTTGTGCTGGCTGAGGACACTGTCGCGTCTAACTTCGGCCTTTGTTTCAACGTTCGGGGTCTGTAACCCTCAGGAAAAGGCACCATGCAGTGTGTAAAAATTCAAGACCTTAAGCTTTACCTTCTGGTGTCTATGTGCCATAATTAGAGTTATATAAAGTCATAGTAATGAAATACCACAAAAATTCCCATTTTTTTACCCTTGGAGAGGTTATAGAACTGGATGAACTTGCCCCCTACCAAATTTATGTATCTGGCTTCCTTTTTATGAATATCTAGGGGTACAGTTTCCGTGTCTTTAATATGCTGCTGAATCACATTGCCCAAAGGCCTTTACCCTTAAAAGTGGCTTTACTCCATTTAAGCCTCTTTCCTGGAGATAGGCGGACCTCCTCAGGCAGGTGCAGCACCAAACGGGCCTGACCAACGTGGACGTGAACGTAGCTACCCTGTCACCACCTCTGGTATGAAGTCTTCACTCAAATTTTTGGGGGGAGGGTGGCACTTTTATTATAAAAATTTCAAATATACTGGAAAGTGAAGAGAATGTAGTGAACATCTAGATTTGACAATAGCTAATCTTTGGCCAGTTTTTTTTTTTTTTTTTTTTGGCTGAAGTGAATTCTGTAGGGAATTGAAAGAATTGAAAACATTGTGACATTTGACCCATAAGTACATTAGAATGTACTTTGCAAAGTCAGAATATTTTCCTCTACGACCACACTGCCATTATCGTACCTAACAAAATTAACAATTCCTTCACACCATCGGGTACAGCCTGTGTTCAGGTTTCTCCTCACAGTATTATCCTCCTAATGCCATTATTCCAGACTCCCCTCGCCTTATCGTGGAATAGGTTCATCTGGGATAGCAAAGCCACATTAATAATCGTGGCTGACTTTTCGGGGGCAGAGGAGTCGATAGAGACGTTATCTGAGGGTTCAACAAAGCCTCGTTCGGATGAAGTCGGGAGGAAATCTCAGGTGGTTGCTCTAAGATACGTAAAGAAATATGCAGAGGACATCGTGGGGAGATGTTTCTGCTTAAAGCTGAAAAGGAATAAAGGAAAAAACTGGGCGACTTAAAAAAACAAACCACAAGGCTGGAAGCAAGGCAGACAGTCGTGCGGCCTATCTGTAAAGGGGCTGATGCCCTCATCCCTTGAAGTAGATCCAGCCAGCCCAGCTACCTGGGGAACAAGCTATGTTTTCTGTTTGCTTATTCAGATTTTACTTTCTTTTTTATTCTCAGATTTTACTTTCTTTTTTATTCAATGTACGAACTGAAGTACTGTGGTGTCCTGAATTTTCTGATAAGTGATGGGTTATTTAAATGTTTTGCTCTAAATATTTCCAAAATATATTAGTCTAAAATGATAAACTAGTAAATATATTGGCAACACATGAAAACAGCATAGGCCTGAAGAAGTTCCGTAGGAAAAAGATAGACAAATGGCTTATCTTGTATGAAAACCAACCTTACACATAATTACAACCAGGCAAGATAAAACCACCAGGAGATAAATTTTACACCCAAAAGACTGGTAAAGATACTTTTTTTTTAATGTTTAATAACAAATGAGCCCTTTCATTACTATCTGGAGACAGGAAGCTGGTCTAATTCCTCGGAAGACAATTTGGTATCCTCCCTTCAAATGTAAAATTCCCATCTACTTTGACCCAGCAGACCCAAAAGTCAGTATTTATGCTAACAATACGTTTCCTCATGCGTACAGAGGTATCTTATGCACACAGAGGTATCTAGTAAGATTAATGCTATGTGCCAAGCACTGTGCTAAGAGCTTGCCCTGCATCACCTCGACACTTGCATATAACCCTAGGAGGCATGTGTGCACAAGGTTGTACAGTGTTAAAAGCGTTTGTAACAGCAAAAGACCGAAATAATTGATTGACATGTCCACCAAAGTAGAACTAGTTAAGTGTCTGTACATCTATCCACACAATGTAGTACGATGTGGACATTAAAATGACTGAGGTAGATCTACATGGGAGATAGAGAACAATTTCCAAAATACCTACTGTAACGGGGAAGCAAGCAAGGCACAGAAGTTTTGTGTTCTCTTTTGTGTTGAAAATGTGTGTGTGTGTGTATTGTGCAAAGAGACGGGGCAGAGAGCACTTGTTAATAGGTTGCTCTAGGGAGGGTGTCTGAGATGGAAGGGAAACTCGCTTTTCATTGTATACCCTTTTATACTGTTTTTAAAAAATTACGCATGCAGTATTTTTTCAATTAAAATACTAGTTACAAACACTTATTTTTCGACTTCTACTTCCTGCAATGTATCGTAATGGTAAATAATACTTCGTGAAGAGTTGACAAGTTTTTAGCATGTCGGTGTCATCCTTACAAACACCAGTCTCAGTGTTTAGTCTAAAGAGTTTTCTCCGAGTCTGAGTCTGGCTCCTGGCTGGGCTGGGACCCCGAGGGCAGACGTTGCTCTGTGCGCAGTGTCCTCAGCCAGCGTCGGTTGAATGGACGGATAAAAAGCAAAGGGGGAGAAAGAACACTTTCATTCCGTGTGTTGCCCCCAGGGCACACTCTCGGAAACACTTTAAAATAAAGTCCTGATATGAATCTGTCTTTACGGATTTGCCCGTGACTCAAGAACAGGTGGGCACAGAAAACAACTTTGAATATGGGTCAGGGCCAGCGAGGGTTTTACATGACAGTGGGTTTAACGCTTACGTGTTCTTACCCGCACTTGCAAACTTTGCAACAAACAAACGAAGATGTATTTTTAAAATCTTGCCTTGAGGTCTCAGCTGAACCCTAAACGCTCATTTGAAACCTCCAGCAGAAGCACCACCGTTGTAGCGTTACATGTGAGGCACCGCCCGGGCGCAGGGCGAACCCCGGTACGCACGTGGTATGGGTTGTCCGGGTTGAAGGGTTCTGAGTCCTCTTGCACACCGGGTCTGGTTTTGTTGTTCAGTCTTCCCAAGCCTGGGCCGCCTTGTGGTCCACTGCGTGGCTTTGTGGTACCCGTAACAATCTGTGTTACCAATTCTCTTCTTTCTCTCTGGATTTCTGCAAAAATAAATAAATAAATAAAAATTCTGTTAGAGAATTCCTTTATTTGAATCACAAAGGAAGGTCCGTTTATCAGGGTGAAAAACTTAAGGACGCCCAAACAGATATGACCAGATACCATTTAAATTCGTACTGACGATTTTTGTAATAAGATAGTAGGTTTTGGAGTCTTGAGTTAGTAGTTAAACGTACAGATAACCAGAATTTGATTTTACAACCCTACCTGAGCAGGTCTTAGCAGATAGCTGGCAAAAATCCATTCTCTATCCTTCGTTGTCTTCGCCTGCCTCTGCTCTAGGGGCTGAGAAAGTAAGACTAATGCTATGTGCCAGTCATTTCCCCACGTCCCTGGCAGTGAGCGGCAAGCGCTCAGGGAGACGTTTCTGGCCAGCGAGACATGAGCAGAATGTGCCGGTACAGTTTCTGGAAAAGCTTTTGCTTTCTTGGTAAAAGGGGTCAGATGTGGCCTCCTCTGTCTTGTCTCCCTTTCTCGAACTCGGATATGATATCTGGGTTATGAGAGTCAACCTGTGACCAGAAGTGACAGGCATAGGGACGATGGGCCAGCGTGCTGTGGGTAGCAAAATGGTAAGCTAGCATGAGATGCGACACTATGGCTGAGTAGCAGAAGATGCCAGAAACCTATCTCCAGGCTTCTGGCTCTATGAAAAAAATCAACCTGTATTTGCTAAAACCACTGGTGATCAAGTGTCTGTTACTTGCAGCCCTATTGCTAATGGAGTGACTCTGCATGTATAAAACGTCACGGTTTTCAGGGGATTTATTATCTTGGTTGATTCTTAAAAAAAAAAAAAAAAAAACCCTATGGGATAGCAAAAGCATATACGTTTATTCATGAGAGCATCAAGGCTCAGAAAAACCAGGTGACTTGGCCAAGATCACAGAATGGGTGGCAGAGATAGGAGGAGATCTAGCTCACCACACTGCCTCCCGGGTCCTGCAGCATGACCCATGGCTGCTGAGTGACAAAGATGGAGAGTGCCACACGGCATGGGCTTCGGGGTCTCTCTGAGTCTGTTTCTTCATCTGTAAAACGGGGTTAATAATAGTTTCTAATTCCCAGGGTAGTGACAGAGGTCATGGGAATTTGCGTATAAGGATTTTAGAGTGTTTGGTATATAATAAGCACGCAAATGTTAGGTGACGATGATGATATCATGCTGTTCTTTATGAGAACTCAGACATGCTTCGTAACCATGGACATCATCTTGATTTCTGAGGCAAGTCGGAGAGGCATCAGGAAACCCAGATTCAAATCTCAGCTCCTTTAACTAACTGAATGATCTCGGGCGACTTCATCTCTGTGAACCTCAGTTTTCTCATCTGTAAAATGGGAACATTAGGAGTTCCCCGGACAGCTGTTGGAGAATATTAAATGAGGACAAAATGTCAAGCTGTGGAGAGCTGCCTGGCACACAGCCAGAATGCAGCGGACTCAGCCCTTCCCCTTCCTCGGACTTTGTCCAGCTGCCATTCATGGTATCTGATGCCACAGCTGCGTGACACTGATGACCTGCCAGCTTAACAATCCAAGGGTAGGGGTGGCTGGACCCCCTGGAAATGGGGGGCTTAGAATTAGGTGGTGGGGAGCTAGATATAGAGGGGGTTTTATTTTCTTGATTTCATTATAAAATATGACTGCATTTATGAGACTGGCAAAAAAAATCCTTCATTATTTAAAAAATAATTTTTAAAAAAAATTATTTTTAATTATAATTGACAGTATTATATTAGTTTCAGATGCACAACATAGTGATTCAACACTTATATACCGTGCGAAGCGGTCACCCCAATAAGTCTAGTTACCATCTGTCGCCCTACATAGTCAATGCATAAAAATCCCTCGCGTTTAATGTCTGTGATATTCCATCGTATGGCTGTACCAACAGTCGTTTAATCCTTGTCACGTCTGGGGGGCATTCAGTGGTTCCCATTTTCCCGGTGTCAGACGGAGCGCGTGTGACTCCCGTGTGGACGCCGTGGTGACTGAATGCTTCCGATGTGGTCACGCACCTTGGCCGCAGGGAGCAAGCGCATACCCGGGGAGTCATGCTGCCGGTCACCCCCGCACAGCGGCACGGCCTTCCCAGACCCGCCCCCGATGCCCTCGCCCCCCCATTTTTCCATAGCGCCTGTGTTGTGCCATACGATGTTCTTATTTTTATTTCATGTTTATTTACTGTCCCCGCCTCGCTACACCACAGAACTCCTTGAGGGCATGGATTCTCGTCTGTTCTGCTCACCAGTGCATTCCACGGGCCTGGAACAAGTAAACGGCCCGTAATAAACGTGTCAATAGGTGTTCTCGAATGAATGAATGAATGAATGAATGAATGAGGCTTGCCCTCAAACAGAAAGTGCTCAGGGAGAGCTGTACATGGTGGCAGAGATGTAGACTTTCGTCTTTGACTGGAAAGGTGACAAGGTATTGGAGAAGTAGCTCCTGGGTGGCATGAAGCAGGAAGACCAATTCCACACTGCGGCAGGTGGGAACTGACTGCGAGAACTTGGCAAGTGGCCATAGAACTGGGAGCTGTGACCACCCACGGGGCCAAAGCAGGATGGCAGGAGCAACGGTCCATTCCACTGGGCAGCCCCTCCCCCCCAGCCCCTACAGTTGTGACAGACACTGTTGGTGGCCTCAGGATCCTTCCTAACCCATCCCTCCAGGCAGCCATGGCCAGAGGCTTATAAACTGAATCCTGTTTGCCTCACCTGAGGTAGAAAGGAACCATCTTATCTGGGCTCTGGGACAGAATACAACTCGTGAACTATAGAGAGAAGTTAGCCGTGGCAGAGTCAGAAGTCTGGACTTGCTAAGCCCGGTGAGGTTTTTATAAATTGTGGCAACGTATACACACAACCTAGCAGTTTAACCATTGTTAAGTGTATACACAGTTCAGTGGCATGAAGTCCATTCTCACTGCTATGCGACCATCTATCTCCAGAACATTTTTTCGTCTTGTAAAACTGAAACCCTGCACCTGTTAAACAGTAACTGCCCATCCCCCCGTGCCCCCCGCCCCCAAGCCTGGCAGTTTTAATGCCTGTGTATTTTAAAAAATTTCCATTCTGCTCTCTCTTGGTGTTCAATGAAATCTTTTGGAAAACAGCCCAGCTCCGCTGTGCTAGGAGACAGGGCCTTTTCCACGCTTGAGCCAGAGGAGGTACAAAATGGGCCTTTGTAAGGCCAGCAGGGTGACAGCGGTGGACATGCCCAGAGGGAGTGCCCTTGGGGACGGGGGAGGCTGAGGGGAAGGGGCATGTCCTGCAGGGGTCACCTGCCCTTTGCCATCCGGAAGCAGCTGGCAGGTGTGCTCCGACCTGGCTCTGAACCCCAGGGCCCTTCACTGATTTTCACCCAACTTGGAAGCCGACGCTTGATCCTCGAAGAATCCCGACCTGTGCCCACGGCAGCTTTCACCTGCCCCATAATTCTAGGTTTGAACATCCTAAGGATTTGGTAGTGTGCCAGCTCCTTAGTCCCCTTGATTCTGTGCCTTAGGAATGAAAACTAAACCGTAAAATTGGAAAGTGCAAACAACCGAGATTAAGGGGCAGAGAGGAAAGCCGTGGGGGTGCCCTAAGTAAACACTGCGGGTAATGTCGCGCCCCGACACCGTGATCCGCTTCCCGTTGACCCCGTGCAAGGCGGTCACTTCCCTTCCCTCCATCTCCCACGCCGGTTACGGCGACACTGCCAGGCCGCGCCCCGCGTCCTGATGTGTCTTCCCGTTACACCTCAGGCCTGCGGAGGGCCTCACAGGAACCCCCCAGGCACAGGCAGAACTCCAGGCAGCATTAGGAGAACATAAAACGTTACCTTTTGGATATGTTGGCTTAAGCCAGAAAATAGGAAGGTCGCCACAGAGTTCTGTGACTTTGGAACTCAAGAAGCTGTTGTCCTTCACGGGCTGGTCTACGGCCACCCAGATGAGAGAATTTTCTTCGTATTTAACTGGCATGATCTTGCCTTCCTGTAAGTAAAAATGAAATGCCCTGAGCAGGAAGGACAGTGGGGGCGCGCTGCGTATTAAGAGTCACACGGGGGTAAAAGATGACCTCGCCGTATAATAACTTAGAACACTCTGTGTGCGAATGGGTGCCCATCCCCACCCCCCGCACTTTTAAAGTTCTAATCTCTTCTCTTTGTAGCCGTCTTTGCAATATTTAGCGTCCCATCCTCACGTCATCCTGCCTTTGGATAGGTGCAGTGTGCGAAGACCACCGTCCTGAGTGGAAGTGAAAATTAGCTGATGCCAGTTTTGAGATCTAGGTTAATCTGATGTTTTTGATCAAAGGTGTTTTTTTTTTGAGGAAAAGCAATCGAGCAGCCTTGGAATCCTACAAAGGAAAGAGGAGCCCTCTATCTGAAGTGAAAATCCTTTGGGGTTTTGTACTGAACAACAATGGAAAAAAGCAAGCGATTGGTTCTTTAATGTCTTCAGTTCAAAGTATTATTTAACATAAACCATTTCTGCATCTCCCAGCTATCACAAAACATAGCTCCGATGCCCTTCGCATTAAGCGCACCACTGAGATTTCAAAGCTAAACCTTGGATTTTCTTCCACGGTGAGATGCTGAGAATGGTTTGATAACCCAGGAGACAAATTTATTTTGCCAGGTTGTTCCTTTCATGTATTTATTAGTTCGCAATAGGTTGGAGAAATTAAAATGTTTTCTCTTTATTTTTAGCTGAAAGCGGCACTTCATTTATGCTTTCTCCCCCAGGCTTACGGCTGCATTAAAACAACTTCAAGTTATCAGAGGAAGCTAGCACTCAGGTAATCCAGTTATTTACCTTAAATTAAATGGCTCCATCCAGGAAATGAATGCTCTTTAGGTAGAGTAGCTTTTTAAAATTATACAAAACTGCTGAAAAATTTATAAGAGCAAGCAGTGCGTAAATCTACCCCATCGACATCTGAAGGTGTAGAGAAAATGGGGTGACAGGAATAATGCATCCTCCACGCTAGGGATGTTAAATAAACTTGGGGCACGTACTTTTGGTCGCCCGCCCCATCTCCTCTCTCCCTCCCTCTCCTTGCAAAACAATCCTGCTTTTGTTTGAGGCTGCAATGTGCCCGATGCCAAGACAGACATCTGCTTTCTTAGACTCTCCAGCCCCGATGGGCGCCCATGTGACCAGTCGGTTCTAGACAATGAGATCCATGCTGAAGGGCATTGGGTGACTGAGAAGCCGTCTCCTTTTCCTGATTAAAGGGACTTTGTAGTTGGCATTCTTGGCCTCTTCCTGACTTCCTTACTTGAATGCATGGTTGATGTTTGGGGCTGGAAGGAAAGACCAAAAACGCCCAGAGATGCCGGCCACTGAGCCAGTGCCTGCAGCCACCTGCCTTCACATTGCTCACTATGGAGAAAAACAAATCCTTATATGTTTACGTGACTCTAGGTGTAGTTTCCTGCTACTGACGCATTCCTAATTCACACAAACGTATTGTCTGAATTTGGTTTTGTCCATCAGAGGACCCACCTTGCACAATATAAACAATTAACACACAAGAAAAGTAATTCACTTCTATGGCCTGAGAAAAGGATCAGATGCTGACAAAGATTTAAATACAAAACTCTTCACCACGGTGAATTAATTCTGTATTAAAAACATTATTGTTATTTGAATTGGTGAATAAGTGAAGACACTCGAATATTTAAGAACAAAAGGCTTTTAAAATTATAATTATATGACATATAATACTTCTATTCTCATCTACATTTTAGAAGAACTAAAGTTAAGTGAAAATAATAAGGATGTTTAATAGTATAGATTCAGTTATGAAAAGAATATCACACATACTTACATGTGAAGAAAATTCACCAAACAACATTAGCTATTGTGGATTATGCAATCATAAGCGATTCTCTTCTTATTCTTTTACTTATTTCCCAAATTTTCAACAATGACACATTATTGTTTTTAAAAACCAGAAAAAAATTATTTTTAAAAAGCTCCCAAATTGTATTGTAAACATATGATTAGCTCTCGGTCAGTTGTGGTTGGGGAGTTGGTTCTTTTGGAAGGCAGGATGGGGGAACTGGTCCTATGTCCCCTCATGGGGATAATGTCAAGGATTATAGTTCACCAAAGTCTTCATTATAGAAACTGAGTGACGTGACTTAAAAAAAAAAAAAAAAAGCGATGCAATAATAGAAGTCCAAGGGCCAGGAGGAAGGAGGTCTGCGTCTCATCGTGACGCTCTGGACCAGTGAGTTCACGCCCAGAGCGAGGTGTGGCCCCTGAGGAACGGATGGACCGCAGCAGGGGCAGAGAACGGCTGGAGTGACCGAAGGTTTGGAAACGTCTCACATCTCACGGGATGAACGGCTGGGGAAACTGGGAGCTGGGAGAAGATTAAGGACACGCTAGCGAGATGAACACACTCGGGGTTGTTTTTAGCTTTTGTTTTGCCTTGTGTTTTGAGATGCCTCCCTTCGCTGCTCCCGTGAGGGCAAACAATCAGGCGGTTTCCAGGCACCGTTGCTTACCCTGATTTTTCCTCTTTTGCCTTGAGGGAGTTGATACTGGCTTCACCTCCCGCTCAGGGAGACAGGGAGGACCAGAGATGATCATAATAAAATTACCGATGGTAGCAGTAGTCGTCTATTCATTACCTAGTAGGTTCTATGGCCGTGGGGACAGTGTGCATACCCCTAGTTTGTAGATGGGAAAATTGAGGCCCACGGAGTGAAGCCACGTCCACAGCCAGCGTCGGAGCTGGGATGTGAACCTGCGTTTTGCTGACTCCCAAGTTCATTTTCTTTCCACCAGACCCTGCCGCTACTCAAATGGAAGACGATAATGAATGTGACGACTTTGTAGCCCTAAAGTATCAAATAAATGTGTCTTTAGAACTCTCTATGCAATTCTTAAAATAAATGTTTATCAAATCAAGCTCAAAGGCAAGTTATTCATCATAAATGGAAGGATTACGTTTAAAAAACCTCACAGGTTTGATACATAGAAAAGGAATCCTATATACGTTGACTACCTTCATTGGGCTGAACTTGAACAAATGGAAAGAAATCGTGGGGGGAGCCATCTCAGCTCAGCGTAGGGCACAATGAACGATCAGAACTGCCTCCCATGAAGTCACCTGACACACAGGGAAGGCGTTACCCTGTCACTGCTGTCCAGCAGAGGCTGGGTAACCAGCCGCCAGAGATTTTCAGACGGAAACTCCCACCCTGCGTGGGACTGAGGCTAGAAGGTTCCTGAGGCCCCTCTGATGAAGATTCTATCAGACGACCTCCTTTCTGTCGTCTGAGTCACCGACCAGATAGTTCCTTATCATCAGGCAGATCAGGGCTATGTGAGACCAAGTGCCTTTAAACACTTTTTATCAAAAAACATTTTAAGTTAAAAAAATTTATTTTATATTAGTTTCAGGTATACAGTACAACGATTAGACATGTATATAATTTACAAAGTGATTCCCCGATTACTCCAACACTCATCTGGCACGACACACAGCCATTACAGTACTACTGACTACAGTCCCTACGCTGTACTCTACGTCCTGCTGACCGTTTGCGACACACTAACTGTACTTCCTCACCCCTTCACCCTTTTCACCCAGCCCCCCAACCTCCCTCCCCTCTGGCAACCATCAGTTTGTTCTCTTATCTGTGTGTGAGTCTGTTTTTGTTTAGTTTGTTCATTTCTTTTTTTCCTTGGATTCCTCATGTAAGTGAAGTCACGTGGTATTTATCTATCTCTGTCTGACTTATTTCACTCAGCATAATACCCTCTAGGTCCATCCATGTTGTTGCAAATGCTAAGATTTCGTGGTTTTTTTTTTTTTTTTTAATGACTGAGTAATATTCCATTGTATATATGAACCATAACTTCTTTATCTAATTGTCTACTGATGGGCACTTAGGTCGCTTCCAGAATTTGGCTATTGTGACTAGTGCTGCTGTGAGCATAGGAGTGCGTAGATCTTGACAAACTAGTGTTGTGGTTTTCTTTGGATAAATACCCAGAAGCGTGATTGCTGGGTCAAAAGGTAGTTCTATTTTTAATTTTTTGAGGAACCTCCGTACTGTTTTTCATAGCGGCCGCACCAATGTGCAATCCCACCAACAGTGCACGAGGGACCCTTTTATCCACATCCTCGCCAACACTTGTTTTTTGATTTATTGATAATAGCCATTCTGACAGGTGTCAGGCGATATCTCGTTGTGGTGTTAATTTACATTTCTCTAGTGATTAGTGACCTTGAGCATCTTTTCATATGTCTACTGGCCATCTGTAGTTCCTCTTTGGAGAAATACCTGTTCAGGTCTTCTGCCCATTTTTTAATCGGATTTTTGCTGTTGTTTGTTGTTGAGTTGTATGAGTTCTGTATAAATTTCGGGTATTAACCTCTTGTCAGATGTATCGTAGACTTACGTCTTCTCCCATTCAGTAGGTTGCCCCTTCGTTTGGTTGATGGTTTCCTTTACTCTCGAGCAGCTTTTTAGTTTGATGTTGTCCCATCTGTTTATATTTCCCTTTTGTTCCCTTGCCCTAAGAGATATATTAGAAAAAAATTACTAATAGCAATATCAGAAAGTTTACTGCCTGTCTTCTTCTAGAAGTTTTATGGTTTCGGTCTTATATTTAAGTCTTTAATCCATTTTGAGTATTTTCTTATGTACGGTGTAAGAAGATGGTCCAGTTTCATTTTTTTGCATGTATCTGTCCAGTTTTCTCAACACCATTTGTTGAAGAGACTGTCTTTACCCCATTGTATATTCTCGCCTCCTTGGTCATAGATTAAATGACCATATAGGCATGGATTTATTTCTGGGCTCTCTATTCTTTTGATCTATGTATCTGTTTTTATGACAGTACCGTGTTGTTTTGATTACTGTAGCCTTGGACTGCAGTTTGATATCAGGTAGTGTGATACCTCCGACTTCATCCTTCTTTCTCAAGATTATGGTGACTATTCAGGGTCTTTTGTGGTTCCATAT